AGGTACTTGGACCAAAATCCCCCTTACGCCAGAGGTATGGCGCGATCGGCCTGGAAGAAACGGACGAATCAGATTATGTTCCAACATCCCCAGGAACCACAATCTCATCAGCAGGGCCCTCTGCGCGACGCCACAGCCACCGATCAAACCAGGACAACGCTCGGCGAAAAGGAAATTACGAGAGAAGCCCCAGCCGAACGGCAGATCAAGGAAGGCGAGGTCACAATACTGACCAACGCACAGGCAACCGAGCGGTCGAGCCCTTTGGTGACGATCTTCCATCTACCGATCCGACTATTCGTCTCCTCCTACAGAAGATGACTCGCATTAAGAAGGAGCAAGACCAGGCTCGGACACCAACATGGGGAACGGTACAGCCAGGGCCGTTCACCAATCGAATCCGGACATTCAGACACGAGAAGGAGGTCCAAGCACTCCGCATATCGTTTTATTCGGGGGTCGAAGATCCCGTTACCCACATTCATACCTTCCAATCAGCTCTGGGTTGCAAAGGACTGACGGACGAAGGCCAATGTTTGCTATTCCCCTCCACCCTGACCGGAGCCGGCCTGAATTGGTTCTATCGGATGGAGCCAGATACGGTTGACAATTTTAATCAGTTGAAGCAAACCTTCCTCAACCATTTTATGATTCAAACCGATCGCCTATATTCAGCCGATGATCTATATACCGTTCGGCAGCAAGACGATGAGCCGTTGAGGGAATATGCGGCTAGGTTCAGCCATGAGTACTCCAGATGTCCGGAAACTGACGACAGGGCGGCCTTCGGTGCCTTCAAAAGCGGCCTTCGGTCGTCTCAGTTTCGTTATTTGGTCCACAGCAGCAACTGGACCACCTACTCCGAATTAATGAAACAGGCGGCTATCCACGCCAAGGCTGAGCATTTCAACTCCAAGGGATCGGCTTCGACCCCAATAAACAAAACGGCGTTGACCGATCAGCCTCCAACGCAGAACTACGACCGATTCCCGGTCGACCGATCGGCAAACCAGGCCCCCTACCGAACGGCACCGCCTGGCCCTGCTTTTTCCACTCAGCGAAACAAGCGGAAGGACAACTTCCGGGAACGGCAGGACAACAACAAGAGGGGCAACCACAAGGGGAATCGGCCAGACGAAATCTTCACTTTGCTCAACACCACCTATGAGCATGTTCTCCTGACCGAAGGGGATATGATACCGAAGCCGAACAATCGAAACCTCCCTCGCCAGAGCGAAAAAGACACCGGTGTCTTCTGTCGGTACCACCAATACAACGGCCATGATACGGAATCATGCATCGCGCTGCGCAAAATCGTTGAACGCCTCATCAATGACGGAAAGCTGGATCAGTATTTAAACACCAAGCCAGCAACGCATAACTCATTGAATCGGCAGATCTATTGCCGAAGCCAGCAACCGATCCGTAAAAAACTACGTTCGTGCCGTACGGCATCCACAGATCCTCAGCGTGGCGGGAGGACGCAATGACAAAATTCAACGAAACGGTTGGGAACCTATCACCTTTTCTATTTAGCTCCACCAAAATGGATTAAGCTGCATCCTCAACTTGTGATACTCGCAAGTGCACGAACCGTTGGTAGTATAGC